GTCCTTGTGTGCTTGGGAGATATTGCGGCAAGTTTGTCCTTAAGGGTCTTCCTTCCCTAAGCCGATGTTGTCATTTCGATAACCAGTTGTGAATTCCCAGGAAATGGAACCATTGGACCTTAATGACGATCTCCATAACATTGCTGAAAATGCATGAGAGCTCTGTGTGCCTGTAAACAGTCGTCGACGACTTGTTACCCCTTTGTATAGTGAAGTTCGTTGTGCCATCTCCCAATCAACAGGAAATGTTCCGGTGTAAAAAACGCTTAGAGAATCATTAATATGGGTGTTGCAGGCTCGCTGGAAATTTATTTAAGAAGCTTAGGAGGAATCTTATCTGGTTCTGGGGACTTCGGCTCTTTTAATGCCTCTAACCCTTTTCGGATAAGATTTTCTGAAGAAAGTGTATTGTTTAAGACTGAAGGCGTCAGTTTTTTTTGCGCAGAATGTGAGGAAAGATTCTACGTTTGTCTAAACTTATTGGAAAACTTGCGAAAAATCCGCAAAATTATTCCGGCTTCAATATTTTCAAGACTCCCGATGATCCTTATTTACGGGGTCTGATATCAGTTCCCTGTACTGTTTCTAAAGGTAGCTACAAAGTTATTTAGGATTCTGTGTTATTATTTTGAAAATTCTTCTCGAATTACATGCACGTTTTATTCTCACACTTCTCAGTTTGTTCCTCTGCGTCGTGTGCTTGCTAAAATATTCAACTTGCTTAGTTACGCAGTATTGTCTCCACAACCTATGTTCGATATTCTTGGGGTTGATATTCAACCTCACGCTGTTAACTCGCACATCTCGATCCCACACCACCTACGTGAAATTGTTGCTGTGGTGCATTCAATGGGGCTGAGGAGGGAGGATAAATTCTGAGTGTTGTCTGTATGACAAAAATGGGGAGTGCATGGGTAACATAAACGTGTCCAGGTGGTGTGCGGTCACCACCTCCATTTAGTGTTGGCCACGGGGCATTAATGTCTTCTGACAGCAGGTCGTCTAGATTGTTAGCCGAATAATTATTGATTCGGCTGTTACTTGCGCCATTTTGACGTAGGCGCCTAAAGTAATCCCAATCAGTCAGTCATTGCATTCGAGGGAAATAGGCTTACACCCTTGAACCACCTATTTGTACATAAAAATCCAGAAAATAAATAAAAATGTGAAGACATTACAGCATCAAGTGAATGCAGACATCGGTTGATACGGGTCACGGATTTTATGGTAACAAAGTCACATAGTCTGCTCGTTGCTGCAGCATATGTCTGTCAAGCTGACATTTAAATGTCTCCACAGTCTGAGACATAGCAATCGTCTCGGGCAGGTTATTCCACGGCTCCACGACTCGGTTGGAGAAAAAATACCTTCCCACATCCAGTCGAGTTTGGGCCACACGTAGTTTGAAGGAATGCTCCCGGAGATTAGTTGCAGTGGCTAGTTGGAATAAGTCTTCGCGCCGGAGGGCGCGGTCCGAGCCGCGCACGATACAGAAAGTTTGTAACAAGTCTGGTGTCAGGTAGAAAAACTGAACTATATGGCGTCGACGAGGTCACGTGTAGTGACAAGAGGCCACACAGGCAAGGAGGCCTTGGATTGCCAAGGACTATATCGCCCTACAGAAGTTTCAGAGGCGGGAGACAAAAATGCTCAAACATCCAAGAGCACTGACCTATGAAAACAGACTGTCAACCCTCGACTTATTTTCCCTTTTTCTACAGGCAATTACGATGTGATTTAATGCTAAACTTCCACTTTATTAATGGGCTGGAATCTTGTTTTGTCCTCGCGTATTTTTCATTAAGGCTAACATAACATCTTTGCTAGGTCATGCTCCAAAACTACCCACAGGTAAACAAGGAAACCTTGACGTAAGTCCTTCTTCAGTAGCTGGGTGGTTAGGACGTTAAACACCCTTCCTACTGATGTTTGCTTTCCACGCGCAATTATGTTAACAATACCTTCTTCAGCTTTTCGCCTTTTAGTGCCTTTTCTCAGATTATTTGCAGCCGATGGAGAGTTCAAAAGCGTTCGCCTAACTTCCTATAAATTACACTGAACTGAGCTCCGAACAAACCCTCAGTAGGTTGACTGCCAGGTCCGAGTTTGATCGTGAGTTGGCAACATTCTAAGCCACTGCACTAAGCGCACCGTGGTAACGTCAGGCCCGGATTACAAATGCGGCAAAGGAACTACATGGAGAAGGAGCCAAGGAACACACTTCACACCTATACGACAAGTGTTAATTACAAGCTTGTGTTGTACGGCGTTGGGGGTGGTCACGTGTACTGTAGGTGCTGATGAGAAGAGATGTGATTGTGTGGTATAATCTTAAATCTCCTACCGTAGGTCTTCATGAAGCCACATCTAGCCTGATAGGCTCATGTGGTGGTTGAATGTGTGAGGATAGTGCGGACAAACAGGGCGATGATGTCTGATGCATGCCGGTGATCCAGGGATTCGTAAGTCAGTCTCTGTGCCACATCGCATGCATCTCACATGCATAAGTATACCAGAGGTTACGTTGAGAAGGAGCCATCGCAGCCAGATTAAGTCCACCATTCGACTAGGTTTTTCCCACCTACTGACAAAAAGGAAAATAGTGGTGTTAATGGTGAAGCTAATGGCGGTGGGCGGACCGTCGAAAGAGTTTTCTTCGGTGATTGGAGTGGAACCTGTGATGGTCGCCTTCGTCGCTGCCGCAGATGTTATGGCAGGGATGATAGAGATGGTGGTGACCGACGACGGTTGGGTACAGGGGTGGTGAGCATCGGCAGAGAGGGCGGTCATCGTAGTGGACGCTGTGGGATTTGAGAAGGCGCGGTTGGAGTAGTAGTGATTGGGACTCTCGGGATGGTGCATTGCATTCTGAGATGTTCGATGGGGCCAATCCGCGCACGGAATGTTCGTTGACAACGCAGGCATGTTCATAGCAGTCTAGGGCTGGCGTTGCGGGTCTGGGACGTCTGAGACTTGCGAGCTTCCCTTTCGGCCTTGACAACAACGGTCAGCTTGGTTTCCTAGTTGACTGCTCCAGCCTATATTGTTCCACTCCACGTCGGTCGATTCTTTTGTGGCTACAGCGCAGTTGCAGTTGTTTCAGCATGGTATGGATACTGAGGATTCCAGTACGTCCCAGAACTTCTTTATCCCCCACCCTTTACTACCACCTCAGCATTTGTATCCAGCAGAGACAACTGAGGTGAAATCGATCGCGTTTCCGCAGTGGTTTTACGAAGATTGTCCAGATCTTCAAGCTATGCAGACGAATTTTTATATCTTCGGTTTGGTGTTCAGCTGCAGACCGTAGCAAATTCATATGGGGTTCTGAAGCCGGCCAAGTGCCCGGTTGGCTTTGGCGATTCTTCCTCGATTTTGTTGTAGCGTGAGGATGGGCTGCCTAAGCAGGCGAAGTCGTCCATGGTCTTCAGTCGGATACCGTTGAGGTGGATGTGAGGACCACTGTATGCAGCGTTGGGTGACGACCGATGCATAACCACCATCTCGTCAATGTTAATGGTCAGCTCGAATTTGACGCAACCGGAGATAAACGGTTCCATCCTCCGTTACATGTAAGCTTCTGTGTCTGTGCTGAGTCCGCAGTCGTCAACGAAAAGTTGGTCGTGGACTGTGGTCCTAAAGAGACACGTTGAGACCAGTATGCGCAGGTTGTTGAAAAGATAGCCATCAGTCATGTAGACAGTGTGGCTTCCGGGACGCTCATCACGGTAGACGTCCTTCAGTATGGTAGAAAACTTGAGGCTGAAGAGGCTTGTGGGGAAGCAAGCTAACCAGCAGCAGTCCAGTAATTACTGCAGATGCTTCTGTGACGGTACCCTTGTCCGCGACGCGAGCCATAATCCCCTCATAGAGCTGACGTACTAACGCTTGATCGTTCTATACGGGCGATTTTCTGCCAGATTTTGTATATTGAATCGCGATTCACCTTGTTGAAGGCTTTTCTTAAGTGCCAGAATATAGTGTGGAAGTGTGTCAGCATTTTGTGGCACCGTCCATGCAGCTGGTGGAAGGCCAAAGCATGTCGGTGGTTCCGCAGCGTCGTTGGGATCAACACTTACATTCGGAATGTAGTCTTTGTTTGCGATGGCCGTTCAGGCGGCCGAGAATTCTGCGAGCGAATATCTTCCAGGCGATATTGAATGCGGGATGCCTGTGTGGTTATCACAGAATCGCGGTTTCTTTTCCGTTTGTGGAAATGAACTGTTGTCACATCGTATAAATACTGAAATATGGAGGCACATCTCCTGGAATATCATTGTAAGATGCTCCAGGAACAGGTGATCTCTGTGCTTGCTGAAGTCTTTCGGAAACCAGTCGGATCTCACTGCTTTTCTGCTAGAGAATTGGTTCACGACCCCAATCGATTTTGGAAGAGGTGGTGGCATATTCTTTTCGCTGTCTCTTTCCTATTGAGGAAGTCGGTCGATGTCGGCGTCGTAGATAATATATTGGCTGTCAAGGACACATCTTAACAGCTTGGCCCTGCGTTTTAGAATTTGTGTTTTCTCCGGTAGAAATATGGTTCCACTGCATCTGAGAAACAGCACGACCCCTTGACAGTGGGGCCGCAGGCCGCGTTCAGTAATGTGGAGTTCTTGTTTTATTTGCAGTTGGTGCACATCCCTATTTGCTCAAACTTGCGAGTCATCCAAGCGTTTCGCATCTCCCTCAGTGTCTGCTGCACGAGACGGAAGATGGTTGATTTGTTGACTTCGGCCAGCTGATTCAGTGACCAGTTGGCTGATGTCTGCATCGTCGTCGCTGAACCAGTCCTAGTGCCGACGAGTAGCGCTTCCGTGAGCATCCCGGGCACTAGAGTGAATAGCATTACGCAGTTCACACCGTCGTGCCAGCGATGTGGCGTTGTTGTTCGACGTCGGCAGTTCTTTCACGTACTGGGCTAAATGCTTAATAGATTGTAGCGCTGAACGGAGAAATTAAACAAACAAAAGTTAAGCTACCTGTTGTTCCCTCATCTTTCAGACAGAGTCACACCGTGAGGACGACGAGATGGTGATCGGTTCACCACGGGCGTCGTAGATAGCCTTAGTCACCTTCACGTCCTGTCGATCCGGTCTCCGCACGAGAACGTATTCCAGCAACTGCCAGCGCCGCGTGAGGCGGGGTTGTGTCCAGGTCGCCGTCTTCTGTGTTGACGGTTGGAAGAAGTTGTTGGCAAGGAAAAGGCGATGTTCCATGCTGATTTGCAGAAGATGGAGGTCGACTTCGTTGCAGCTGCTAAATCCGTGCGTACAAAACACTTCCCTGCATGTCCCCCAGTCCGTCCCGACGCAGGCATTGAAATCACTACGGACAGCCAACTTGTTCATCTTCGGCCCATTCTCCAGGAGTACATTTTGGTCTTCATACAACTTGCTTTTCGTTTCATCAGAGTTAGTAATTGAGGATAGTTGGACGTGGACACTGGCGATGATGGCGACAATTTTGGCTGCTTGATGAGGCAGGCGCAAGCTCATGTGTCGGTCGTTTGCGTCCTGTGATGGACAGGCCAGTCTTCCCACGATGTCGTGCCTGATGACAAAAACGACGTCTGTGTCACACCTCTGTGTATATTGCCGGCCGCTCTAGAAGGTGTGGCCGACACATACCTACTTTAGTTGGTCCCGTTCGGAGAAGCGGTTCTCTCTGAGAACAGTGTTATTCACTTTGTAATACACCAGTTGTCGCATTACTGACGTCGTCCTTCATTCCAGCCGACTGCTGCTCAGATTAGCTAAAAGCGAAAGGACATTTTAGGCGGCTACACTGAGTGGGCTCACTCTGGCATCCAGGACGGACGGATCAGGGCATGGATTGTTGTTGGCTTGATTCTTTCGACCGCGAATTGTTTACCTGCGACCCACGGTCTGCGTGCTGATGACGTGATCGTCTCATTTGTTTAGGGCACCTCGTCTCTCCTATTTCTACACGAGAGGGTAAGTAATGCCGATGCTGAACACGGCTGCTAAAACATCCCAGATGGCTGCCGAACTCTACTAAAGATTAAAGTTTAATGTTAATGGAAGACTGATCTGATTTAGCCTGGGTCGCCTATTGGATTACATGTCGCCTGTTGGTTTTGGCGTCTGTGTGGTCATAGCTATGGAAATATCTTTCCTCTCGATTTGGTTCCGAAGCATGCATCGACAGACAGTGTTATATGGACATCCATTCAAAGACAGTAGCTTTTATTGTGACGTCGGGCTACGCGGTCCTATTGACAAAACAAGACGCACGGATTCCCGTAATGCGGGGGCGGGGCGGTAATAATAAATTCGTGGGTGGGGCAAACGAAAATGATAAACAGTTGTTTTCGGAAAGTAAAAAATAATATTTATGTTACTAATTTGTGTTAAATACACAAATAAAACGTAAAAATTAGACGCGCGCTCCGAACTACTGGAAGTTAGGACGTGTGAACGGGCGGAAAAGTAAAAACCGAGGGAAAATTTTTAGATATTCGAGGTCAGCAGATCCCAGCCAGTGAGGACCAATCACACCAAGGAGAAAGCATGCTAAATTTCTTGCTCTGACGGTACCCCTTAAATCTAGCCCCAAACTCCAACCTAATCTTTGCCGACAGCTTTGCTAAAAGTATTTGAGGGAGGCGTGGGGCCGGACGATCTGAAGGAGTGGGATTCAATTAAGCCTATACAAATGAAATGAGTGGGTATTTCGCGGGAGTAAAGGCTGGGTAGGGACACATATTCGATTGTCATCTGCTTTACTTCTGTTCAGTAAATTTCTTTGTCGGAACACTGGGTTATTGTTTCAACTAATTAACTGCTAACAGAGGCAGCTTTGTGGGAAATAGGATGACTGTTCCCAAAATCAATGTAGCCTTGTAATAAACTGAAGCCTGAGTCGCTCTCTCCGTGCTTCTGTGCACAAGGCCATGCAGAAATGGGAGTTGCCTACTAACTTCTGTTTTAAAGGCCAACACACTTTCTTTAAAATTGGAGTTGTGGTCAAATGTAACATAATTCTAACTGATCCTTTGAGGAAACAATAAATATTTCGTTAATGTGGCACAGTCAAAATTTCAACTCAGCTGGGTGGAGGGCGCGAGCCTTCAATATCCGCATTACAGCTTTTGTTATAAGGACGCCTTTGCCGAACGGGATGAATTTGTAGTTTTTGTTCTTCACAATTCCTGCGTGTCACGACAGTCAGTGTTTTAAAATCATAATTCACAGATCTTAGTCGGCATTATTGCTCGTTACATGCGACTTAAACATTTGGGAAAGCTGGTTTGTGACAGTCCGACCGTTGATTACGACGATGTCCACCGTGTGCTACACAATTAGATGCAGCAGGAACGGCTACTTACACGTGAATTAGTTTAAAGTAATAGTGGACTTGCGCAGCATCTACAGCACCCTCTCTTCCCCACTCCCCCACCTGAACCCGAGGTCAAGACAGAGTCAAAAAAGACCCGAGGCTGGGCGGGCGTAGGTGGCTGGCACGGTCGGGCACGCACCTAGGCGTGCCTCCACACCCCTTGGTCCACAAAATACACTTGACCAGGATTTTTCATTAAAAAGAGCACCACAATTGTTCAGACAGACGTCAAGAATGACTAGGCTGCCATGCACACCACTCCTATAACCTGAGGCAGCGCACACCCGTTTACCGGCAGGGAACCAGGTGTCAGGGTATTGTCAGCGCATGCAGGGCTACGAGGGCCATGGTTTTCTGATACCGGCAGAACATACGATTTCTGACCTTTTGACCTAGCTGCCTTGTACATACGCAGTCACGAACACCGAGATCGATGGTTCGTGGTTAGATAATCCTGTAGGACTGATAGACCCTTCCATAATGTAGACCAGCAATGGTTTAAAGTAGACCGATCCGAGGCAGTGGGTGTCCTGAATGTAATTACGTTTTAACACAACTACGAAATATGAGTCAATCAATTTTTGTATCCCTAATAACTTTTGATTTACTGCATGTCATCCCGATCCATGTGAGTATCCTGTTCAGTCATACCCCCAACATGCCAGGTTTCATTGGATGATTGGACTCTTAGTGGCCACTGACTGGCCATTGATTGAGCGGGGACTTGCCAGTTTGTAAACATTTCATTGCGTGCTTTCGCTAGTCGCCATTCCTTCTATTCGACTGTGTTTTATACCCCATCGAGGAGAGGAACTTTTTGAAACAAAATATTCTCCGTTACTTATGGCCTTTCGCAGCGAGGGCCTTGCTACGGGAGCAATGGAACTATTTGTGGAGTGTATCTCGATGCCGTTGAAAATCGTGCACGTCAACTGGGGTTTAAAAAGTTGAAAGATATCGATTGCAACATATCCGACAAACTTCGACCTGCAAGGTGAACCACTCTGAAGGACGAGTTTTCGAATGAGACTACTAAATTGTATCCATGTCAAAGCACCAGAGGTTACTCGCTTAAAATCTTCGTGTCATGTCCAACTATTTGTGAGCATATCAAGCGAATTGAAAAAAATACATACGAAGACGGAATTTTCGTTGCACATGAGTTTACACAAGGAAGAATGTAAATCATTAGGATAATCGATTCGTCCAAATGCTTTATGCTCGAGTTTCAATCCGTGCCGATCATTAGAACATTTTATGTTGGACAAAACATTTAGAAACAGAGACGAATTTGAAGATAATATTTCAGACTTTCTGGAACTGAATCCGATTTCTTCGAACGTGACATCTACTGCGTTAGGAGAGTGTCAATAAGATAACCACAGATAAGTACGATCCCATCCAATGTCATGATATACTAACCGAAATTCTGCAATATATTTCTAATTTGGAAGGGTTACATAGGTGCGGTTGAAATACTAATTATTGTGCGAGATTTTCCCATGATATGTCAGACGCGACAGGGTGTTTGCCTTTATGCGCACTTCTTTTCGGACGCTCGCGAAGGCTGCGCTAGGTAAACAATGGCTACTTTGGTAGCATGCATCTTTTCTATTGACTTTTGATGTCCTTAAAACTTAGGGTATATTTTATAGACAACACAATCCAAAAAACATTTCTTATATTTTTCGTTAACAAATCCTATCCTTGCATGTTATGCTCAAAATATGGGTAAATTTTTTTTAAACCTTTTCCATTTACCAGTTTTCAGGATCGTACACTGTCCACTAGAATGACATCTAATCTCACAAATTATCAGTGTCCTCAAGAAGCATGCAACCTAGTCGAAAAACATTTTTAAATCTTTAATATGCTCAGCCTTTAAGCATAATATTTAAAGGAGACGTGATTTGCTAACGAATGAGTATAAGAGTATGTACTTTGTCTGTTTCCCATAAAGTATATTTGAGGTTATACACGCCTCGAAAGTTCATAGCAAAAAACACGTGTATTAAGATGGTAGTTATTTTCTTAACGATTGCGTTCTTTTTAGGCGGCCAGCAATTGTGGCGTGTCTGACTGATCATGGGATTATGCAGGATTTACGTAATCGCCACTAATCGAAAATGCATTTCTAAATTGAGATTGACAATTGATGATATCAGCCACAAAAATTCCCACTTTGAAAGAAAGGATCTTTTGAAACTTGTAATGAAAGAAACTACTAAATTAGTAGAAGGGCACTATAAAACTAAGTGAGGGTATGTCATTTTAAGGAAATGTACTTGCATCTATATCGCCACCGAATGTCAATGTCTAGCATGAAGGCCCATCAAATGGTTGTTGAGGGGTGTTTATTGCAGATATAAAAAAATTAATTTGACCCGATTGAGAAAAGTCGCCATATCGTTAAGATGGTGTGAAAAAATTGCAATGGCATGGCGGTGGGCAGAGTTCAGTTGGTTCCCGTTGTCGAAGCTATTGTTCAGGATATTCAAAAACTGAAATGTTCGCTGGAGTTGTGAAGCATCTGAGGAACTAACTACAGGACTGCATTAAAATTCGGACTTTTATCAGCATAGAGTACGCACCAAAATGCAGACTGGTGTACCTGGCGATTCTACACAGGTTGGCTACACAATCTGGAAGAGCTTCAAGTGCCGCAGTATACCAGCGTTCAGGTGAGAAATCTTTCACCCACCAGAAGATCAGACTTTTAGAAACCCACATTCAAACTGCGCATCTGCCCTATCTGCAGTTTTAAAATAAACTTAAAAATGTCAGGCAATGCATGCTACTTATGAGGAAGTACACCTTGAGAATTTTCACAATCTGAGCCTACTGGTTGTTTGTTTGGGAAAAGACTTACTCAAGTGTCCAAGGACCACGCCACATTGCAGGAGGGGGTACCTTAACTTAACCGTACTATTATCCCATTTACTCCTCCTTCAGAAGTTAGACACGGACCAGACCAAAGCAGAGAAAAAGCAGATGAATCACGACCACTGTCCGTCATTTTTCTATTTCTCATAAAGAAGGCTATTTCTAATGGGACCTAAAACTCAACGTCAACGATCAGAAAATGTGCTGCCGAAGATCAGATAGTCAGAGGCTACGCTGCATAGTAAGGTAGTCT